TTTTGCTAGCTGATCAATTTGTGTGCAATTTATCTCAAATTACATGAGGGACAATGAATATGAGGATGGGTATTTTGGGAAGGAGAAGGAAAGCTGGGCTGTGAGGTGAGAGACAGGAGGACTCGGTCCAAGAAAACAGTTGAGGTTTCTAGACGATTCCATATTTCGCCAGGTCGCTAAGCTCCATGTCCCCAAAGGCTTCCCATGGGCAGACCACGGTGAAGTCTGTGCCAAGACCCTCCATGCCGGGGATGTCGTCTCCAAATCTAATTGGAAGAAACAACAAGCTTTGATGAGCAAAACCAGCAGAAAGAAAGACAAAGTTATGGAAGAAAAGCTGCACGTGTGATGTTAAAAACAAAACAAAGAAAGCATCTCACCCCTTCTGGCCCGGTTTGGGCGCCTTGCTCTTGAAGGTGCGTGCGGCCCTCTGCTTAAATTTGGGAGGTGCTTTCTTGTCAACGGGAGTTGCGACGTCTGCCATTGTGTTTGGTTCCTGAAAGAGAAAACAGGTTAAAAAATAACATTAATATGTTGATTTCCTGCAAAGATACCACTAACAATTCAGATTTATTGGAGGAGAACTTGTAATTTCTTTTTCTCAGCATGTGTTTTGCTTGTTCTTCTATCTTTGTGAATCACTTTCTGTGGGTTTCTTTTGTTATGCTGTTTCTTCATGCCTTTTATTGTCTTACATAAACCAGTTCCAGTGCCTTGGTGCTAAAGGTTGTTATAGAAATAAAACTGAATTTGCCTCTTTTCTTTGTTCGGCTACATCAATCAATAATCTCCTCTTTACAGAGGAGTCATTGCACATCCCTTCTGGAAACACTTATATTTCACACTCAGGCTTGCAAACAACCAAGCAAATCACTAAATTATGACTGCATTAACCATTGGAAATAAAATCCTCAACCAGCGAGTTCACCCAAATCCAATCCAACAGTGCCTTGAGCAGTATTTACAAAAAGGCCATCACAAAGCATTGCTTCTTATGAAATGTCTCATTTCAACTCCAGTTCAGGCGTGATACTCAGGAAGGAAAAGAAAAGCTGTAAAGCCAGTGCTCTGTTTTTCTCTGCTGTGAGGATGTAGTTACAAAAGCAGAAAAGAATCTGAGGTAATACAAAGCAATAATAGCCTAAACTCCTCGCACAAGAGCTGACAAAATTGCAGTTTCATCTCACCTTTTGTTCAAAGTCTCAAAGAGTTTTTCTGATGCTGTCTGGCGAGTCTGTCGTTTTCTCACTTGTGGTGTCTCTCTCAGACTGACGACCCGTTTTTAAAGTCCTCCGAGCTGCTAATCCACTCAGATGTTCGCTCTGTGATGTGCCAGCTCTGCCCTATTCTGAACCAGCTCAGCCACAAATAGAGGAGATAAAGGATAGTGAGATATAAATACAAGGTGTATTTCAAGATAGACATGCCTGTAAATGTGCAAACTGAAGCAAACTACAGAGGAGCCATTCACGGGCAGCAGCGGGCGACAGTGATTAACACACAAATCTAAATATGGAGAAAGATACCTGTCTATCTAACTGCCATAGCTACATTATCAATCAATCACCCATCGATCACCACATGCATCAGTTTCTACCTGAATCATGCAATCATTTACTGAATATTCACTGCCACTTCATTAGGCACACCTATTTAACTGCTTGCTAACACGGATATCTAATTAGTAAATCATGTGGCAGCAACTCTGTGATTTTATTCACGTCGACGCGATCAGAAGGATCTGATGAAGTTCAAATCGAGCATAAGAATGAGGAAGAAAAGTGATTTAAGTAACTCTGGATTTTGGCTTGGCTTTTGGTGCCAGATGGGCTGGTCTGAGTATTAGTATCACAAACTGGTGGGACTTTCCCACACAGCCGTCTCTAGGGTTTACCGTGAATGGCCTGAAAAAGAGGAAATATTCAGTGGGCAGTTCTTCGGGTAAACCAAAACATTCCTTGCTGATGCCAGAGGTTGGAGGAAAAATTGCCAGACTGCTTCAAGTTGACATGAAAGCAAGTGTGACTTAAATAAGCACTTGTTACAACCAGGGTGCACAGAAGAGCATCTCTGAACAGACAGCAGGTCAAACCTTGAGGCAGATGGGCTACAGCAGCAGAACACCTCACCACTGTACACATCTTGCAATGGCTGCTTCACATGCAGGATGACGCCTCATGTCACAAAGTTCAAAACATCTCAATGTGGCTCTGTGATCGTCAAAAGGCTGCGATGCTGAACAAAAAAGAAAATATGGAAATTAGATTGTGACAGTTAAGGAAATTATTTATAAATTTTGATTGTGTTTCATTCTTTCAGTCCTGTTATCACCTGTACTTCAAGTACAGGTAAATTATTTTGTGCACAATCTCATCACCCTCCTGTGTGTTTCATGAGGTTATATTTATGAGGGTAAAATTTTGCATCCCTTCACTGACTTCACTGTACTGAAGGGGTAACCATCATTTCTTCTACCATTGTTTACCCAAATTTAATATTTTACACCTCTTCATGGATTGGAGATAATATTTGTAAACAAACGTGTCCTGACATAGCTTCAAGAGGATCTGGAGCACCACGTGATGTAAGAGCAGAGGAGCCCTGAACTCTTTTCAGGTGATGAATCAGATGCTGACAAATAAAGAACACTTAGCTATTCAGCTTTTAATCCTTCAACACATGGCATGAACTGTGCCTAGGTACAGTATGTAGACCTTTAAATGAATGATTACCAAT